ATGAAGAAGGCAACTTAACAAACGACAGAGTGAAGGCCAACATGGTCAAGCAAGCTAAGGAGTTGAAGTGGTACGCTGAGGCTATGAAAAGCTACAAACAAATCAGGCCTGTTCCAATTGGTGCGCCCAACTATGATATATAAATATATGTATATATTTATAGACTATTGAAAATGTACGAATAAGCTATGTCTAGTATAAGCTGTTCTTTGAAATAATTTAATCAGACCATTTTAAACGTGAAAATGTCGGGATGGGAAATCATTCTGGAGTTTTGTTGGTCTTAGGGTAAATAAACTTTTCACTTACTGTCTTCAGTCTTTACTATTTATAGTTTGATAATGAAATCAGCTTTTTTATTTCTCTCAACTTCAGAGATCTGAGTCCTGACTCCTGAGAGCTCAGGACTCTAGGAATGATTATACACCCCTGTCAGTGTCATGTAAGAGCTACAGTACATTTCTTATGCATGTAATATGTACATAGTATGAGACTTAGGCTTTTCTTTTGCAAGAGAAATTTTACTCAACAAATGAAACGTTGTCTCAACTCAAAAATGATTTCAGATTTGAAAATATTTATTAATGTTAACAAAACTTATAAGTGTTACAATTTGATAGAATCAAAAGTATTCGCCAGAGTTGGTTTATGCCGGGTGTGGGCAATGCTGATACTGATGCAGATGCTGTGTCTGTTACTGCTGCTACTGGCACTGCTTTTGCTGCTGCTAATAGTAATACTGATGCCAATGCTAATGTTTATCATTATGCTAATACTTCACCTAGCCATGAGTCTACGCGTACTGCAAGCGAGAGGGCTCTGGATAGAGCAATGCTAATATTGCTGCTGTTTCTATTCCTACTGCTGCTGTTTCTGGAGATAATAACCTCAAATTCTAGTTGTATTATAATAAGCGTTGCGTTGATTTTAAAAATTAAATTATCTTGATTCTAGAATATTCAGTATGGAAAATTCTAGCTTCTGATTTTGATACCACTTCCACCCTCCTGCCACCGCTCATGGCTCACAACGTGAAGAACGTTATATTGCAATTTGCATATTGGGACAAGAAGAACTGTAATTGAAATTCTTGTGAAAAGGCCCTCTAAATCCGAAATCGGTGTATTTTTGGACGCTGATTCCGAATCACACCCTATGACGTAAAGTAAAAATGCTTCCTTGGAGAGTTATGGGCAAAAAAACTGTTTTGGTCACGTGACACTGAGAGGCTATTAAAACAAAAATTCGATTGTTTAGGGCTCGGGTTAGGGTTGTGGTAAGGGTTATGGATGATGGATAGCTTTGTCATACGTTGTATGACCCGCCGCGCACGAGTCACGAGTGCACGTGGCCCCCTGTATCGTAGAAACGCGACACTAAGTGAAACGACAATGCAATGGGGGTCACGACGTGATATAAGGATAGCTTCGGGGTTGGGGTTGGGATAAGGATTTATGCGCATTATGTAAAACCGTTTTCTACGGCTGAAAAACCAAAGTCTGAAGTCACGAGAAATATTTAGGCAAGCGAATAAATAAGAGCATGAGAAGTAAAAATGATAGTTTGCGCGAAGCGTCAAAATCCTCGGACATCCGAAGAATTTCGCCTGTCTGCTGTCATTCCGCGTTGTATCACGTGGTGACCCCACTGTCGCTTCACTATAGTAGAGTTTCTACGATACAGGGGGAGCCGCGCACTCGTGCGCGGCGGGTCATACAACGTATGACAAATTCCGCCTAATCTTTATGTCAAGATTGCTCTATCCAGAGCCTTTGCGCTTGTTGACCATTGTTAATGGTCTGGCCCGGCGCGCGCTACTTCGTAGCACTTGCTTCGAGAAGAACGCAGCGCGCGCTACTTCGAAGAAATTTAGACGAGTAACATCCGTCAATTGCGCTTGCAGTACACAGTAGCGCGCGACCACCGTCCCTTGTGAAAAAAGCGCACCCGCCGTGGCGCAAAAGCAAATGGTTAGGTAAAGATTACAGATAACGCGCGTCGGCTAATATTAAATACTAGTGGACTCTATGCAGCTCTCCCAGAGCCCCTAATTTTACTGATCTGGAGGTCACATTTTATTGAGCCAGTACAGGCTAATATTAAATACTAGTGGACTCTATGCAGGTCTCCCAGCGCCCCTAATTTTACTGATCTGGAGGTCACATTTTATTGAGCCAGTACAGGCTAATATTAAATACTAGTGGACTCTATGCAGGTCTCCCAGCGCCCCTAATTTTACTGATCTGGAGGTCACATTTTATTGAGCCAGTACAGGCTAATATTAAATACTAGTGGACTCTATGCAGGTCTCCCAGCGCCCCTAATTTTACTGATCTGGAGGTCACATTTTATCGAGCCAGTACAGGCTAACATTAAATACTAGTGGACTCTATGCAGGTCTCCCAGCGCCCCTAATTTTACTGATCTGGAGGTCACATTTTATTGAGCCAGTACAGGCTAATATTAAATACTAGTGGACTCTATGCAGCTCTCCCAGAGCCCCTAATTTTACTGATCTGGAGGTCACATTTTATTGAGCCAGTACAGGCTAATATTAAATACTAGTGGACTCTATGCAGCTCTCCCAGAGCCCCTAATTTTACTGATCTGGAGGTCACATTTTATTGAGCCAGTACAGGCTAACATTAAATACTAGTGGACTCTATGCAGGTCTCCCAGCGCCCCTAATTTTACTGATCTGGAGGTCACATTTTATCGAGCCAGTACAGGCTAATATTAAATACTAGTGGACTCTATGCAGCTCTCCCAGAGCCCCTAATTTTACTGATCTGGAGGTCACATTTTATTGAGCCTATGCAGTATATGCAATTCTGTTTTAGACATTGAAATTATTTAAAAAAGGTCTCACCCTCTAAAAAACTCCCGTTGGAAATGTTTCTATTAATTTCACATTGGAAAACTTTTCATTGTGTTTGACCTCAACTTAGATGTATTTGTTTTTTTTTGCTATTTTTAGCAACTCCAATTCTCTTTTGTAGAGCTGATTCTTGTTATATAATATAGAAGTACACTCGATACAGTTATCTTATATAAGAAAATATATTGGACTGCCAAACTACTGGTATATCATTATATTGGGAAGAAAAATAATACAAGTTAGTATTCTTTTAAAAATAACTGTTCATAACATTTACTTCATTTTAGGTATGTGTGTGAAACATCAGAACTGAATAATGGACCAGAGAATTCAGAGATCTTTGGTTACCTGTTTCCGGTTTCGTCGGTTCACATTGCTGCGTTCCTGACCTAGCTTCGCCTGCATCATTAGATCATATTATAATATGCATTATAGACTATAGTTATACAGCTTGAATTTGAAAGAGCTACATGGTCGTTGTTTCGAGTGCTTTTTCATCTGCTGTGACAGACAGCATCAACGGTTACCAACATAATAGGTGCATTGCAAGTTGTGCAATGCTGAATGCATACGTTTCGTCAGTGACTTCCTTCTGCCTCATTGATGCGAAACTGATAATAAACATGCAAGAGAATACAGCTATAGTTACTCTGGACTGCCATGATAGAAACATTGAAACAGATATTGACTGGCTTTAGGTATGTAAGACGTAAGTATTGAAACCTCAAATTGTTATGATCAGGTTCAACATACTTGCTATGATCCTTTATATAATAATATTAATATATTACATGAAATATAATATATTACATTGTATATTAATCTTGATATAAAATCCTCGCTTTTTGATGATTGTAACATGTTCTGTTTCGTTGTAACCTTGTCCCCTACATAATTATATAATACATCATTACTTCCATTTTTCAGGTTTTTATTGGTGTTGCAAACGATGAAACGATCACTAAATTCTGTGCCAGGCGTGCCTATGTGAGATTTGTTGGTTCATCGAATAACATCAAACTTACAGTGTGAGTAATTCAACAATCATGCACTTCATATTTTATGTCCCCCTACTCATTGTTCACTCTCTGTCTTCATCAGTGTTACTCTACATTTCTCTCAGTAATTACTCTCCCACTCAGTATTAACTCTCTGTCTTCATCAGTGTAACTCTACATTTCTCTCAGTAGTTATTCTCCCACTCAGTATCAACTCTCTGTCTTCATCAGTGTAACTCTACATTTCTCTCAGTAGTTATTCTCCCACTCAGTATTAACTCTCTGTCTTCGTCAGTGTTACTCTACATTTCGCTCAGTAGTTATTCTTCCGCTCAGTATCAACTCTCTGTCTTCATCAGTGTTATTCTACATTTCCCTCAGTAGGTATTCTCCCACTCAGTGTTAAATCTCTGTCTTCATCAATGTTACTCTAGACATTTCCCTCAGTAATTATTCTCCCACTCAGTATCAACTCTCTGTCTTCATCAGTGTAACTCTACATTTCTCTCAGTAGTTATTCTCCCACTCAGTATTAACTCTCTGTCTTCATCAGTGTTACTCTACATTTCTCTCAGCAGTTATTCTTCCACTCAGTATTAACTCTCTGCCTTCGTCAGTGTTACTCTATATTTCCCTCAGTAGTTATTCTCCCAATCAGTGTTAACTCTCTATCTTCATCAGTATTACTCTAGACATTTCCTTCAGAAGTTATTCTCCCACACAGTATTAAAGTATTAACTCTCTGTCTTCGTCAGTGTTACTCTATATTTCCCTCAGTAGTTACTTTTCCACTCAGTGTTAACTCTATATCTTCATCAGTGTTACTCTAGACATTCCTTCAGTAGTTATTCTCCCACTCAGTATTAACTCTCTGCCTTCATCAGTGTTAATCTACATTTCCCTCAGTAGTTACTCTCTCATTTAGTGGTAACTCTCTGTCTTCATCAGTGTTACTCTAGACATTTCCCTCAGTAATTATTCTCCGACTCAGTATCAACTCTCTGTCTTCATCAGTGTAACTCTACATTTCTCTCAGTAGTTATTCTCCCACTCAGTATTAACTCTCTGTCTTCATCAGTGTTACTCTACATTTCTCTCAGCAGTTATTCTCCCACTCAGTATCAACTCTCTGACAAGTGACAAGTAGTAACGCTCTAGTTCTCTTCAAAACAGTAGACCAAGGGTTTCCTTCTCCTGAGAACAGTAAGTACTCTCTGTCTTGTTACTCTATATTTAGCTCAGTAGTTATTCTCCTTACTACATTATATGTGCAAGGCAAATTTCTGGAGAATCGAGTATTTTTTTGTAGTAATAATTTGAATTATAAAGCGACAAAATATTATGTGTTCTCTCTTGGTTTGATTTTTTGAATAACAGCCAGTAATTTTAGAAGGTAAACGGTCAAGCAAAGTGTGCAAGGTCGTTGATGGAGTATTCCATGTGTAATCCTCTCACCAGTCTGAGCCCCACCAACTGAACATCAGAGGACCAACTTGCACCTGCAGAAACTTCAGCAGGACTCACATCCCCTGCAGACATATTTTTCAAGCTATCGATGATGGTTTAATGAAATGGGAGGACCTACCTGAAGATTACAGAAACATACCGTTCTTCGTAAAAGATAAAGGTCTGTTAAATTGATCTGTATGCATGTTTACATTCCAATTTGAATAGACAAGACAAAATTGAGGTTCATAACTCGTTCATGTGCTATGACCGTGCGTCCGCGTCGATGTAGGAGGTGTGGAGCCTGCTTGTAGAGAAAATATGAAGTTTCCTACAGTAAATATTATTATCAATATCAAAGGCAGGGCATTACTTCGACCTCCGAGGCGAGGTATCCGTGTGGACTCTGGTTGTTATCAGGGTTGGAAAGACAAAGATAATTTTGTCTGTTTAAGTGGGTTATCACTCTCTGCCATCAGAGTCATAAATCATATCTCCGCAGGGTTTGCAAGGTTTTCCCTATTGCTTTGCTTCCAATTCTTATAATAGTCAAAATATAAAATCCGATATTATTTTTGCAGGAAGTGATATTGGGATATGGCCAGCTGATGCAGATGTAAACAAATGCTGCGATTATCCAGCATCAGAAGACGAGGATGAAGAAGTAGAAGATGATGAGGTTGGAGGAAATGGGGATAAAGAAAGAAGAAACGGGACATAGACTATATAAAGGAGATTGGCGGGAGCTTTCAAACAGAATAACTTCCTTCGTTAATGATCCCGAGTTTGACGTGATGGACGATGATGTCCGTGCATTATTATATAAGAAACTGTCAGATACTGCCAATGATGTGGCATCCTATATTTACAAAAGAAACTAATATAGATAACATAGATAAGATTATGTTTGATAATCACAATGCTGGCAAGCATTACCGTCGCCCTTATATTCACAATACTATTTACCCCCTATACTAGTATATCCCCTTTATTGTTTTCCAGGCATTAAGACTCATCGAAAGTAGTTCAGCAGGCATATTTAAGTTCAAAACATTCTAATTCAATGTTAAAGATGACAGGAATAAGAAATAGTTATGTGGAGGTTTTTAAGAAATTTGCGCAAAATACGCGCCAGCATGTTATACGAAATTAGGTAAAAAACCCAAAATCGCCATATTCAGGTGCCTTAAAAACCATGTTAAAATTGAGTTAGAGATATGAAACTTTGCAGGGCGTCTAGACCTTGTCCAAATCGACTGTAAAAAAAGTTTCATGTTTCAGGAGTATCGGGAAGTGGGTTTTCTGGAACCCCTGTTTTACAACAGATTGTCGTGAAGTATATATATATATTATATATATATATATGTATGTATAGACGCTTTTGCAGTCAATTATAGCCTACATTTAAGTGTCCGTAGATTCAAAAGTATAAAAGATACAGTCATTTCGAACCACAGGTCTTGAAGATAATCGTTTACACTCCAGTTTCCATTATATTACAAAATAATTTAACGTCATCATCATCACTTGATGACGTCATCAAGTTAAGTGTTTTTAAAACTTGGTTTTTAACAAAATAACAACTTTTCAAATCGATTTTAAACCATTAAGGAGTAATTTTATTCAAAATCTGAGGACATTTTCATCTTAGATAATTGTTCAAGCATTCTGAAAATCTACCGGAAAATTTTCCTACCTTGCTCCTTCATAAAGATATTCGCTATTGAAGTTAGTGCTTTTTTGAAGAATAATTTTATAAAAATACAAAAGTTGTGAATTAGTATTCTCTGGTGTTGGGCCATCCCTTGGGTTGTGGAGCTCGATTGTGCTTTCTAAAGGTCTAAATTGTGTTATAGGCTAGTTTTAAAGTTGAAAATCGAAAAGTTGCACACGTGGGGACACGCCCAAATTGATAGAAAATTACTAAAATTACTGAAAATTGCTGTTTTCACCATTTTTATCAACTTTGGAGTCCCGTTGTGATCCAAGTTCTATATGAAATCTTCTGAAACTCTGCTTGCTTATTAAATTATATATAAAATACTGATATGCAAAAATTTACGGTGATTCAATATTGTATGCGCACGCAAAGTCCGCTCAAAGTTTGCACGTGCGAAAGGTGAGAATTTTGCGATTTCGAATAAATTCTGCTTTCCCGCGATATTTAAATGGAATTATATATGAATTTAATGCCAACTTGAATGAGTAAAAAGTGCCATATTCAGTCAGGTAAAATTTCGAAATCGATGAAATTACCTCCTAATTATTAATATAAATATTAATGAAGTTATGAGTTTACATTTCGGCTTTGTAAATTATCCTGACATTATAATCAAAAAGAGATGATATTTGACCAAAACCCATAATCATGGGTAGAGTGTACCGCTGCCAGTGTCTCTCTTTTCCAAACAAAAGGAAATGATATTAATTTGAATAACCGTCCGCAAATGCAAATTGATACCGAGAATGAAATCGGTCGCTCGCTTTTTCCATTCGATTACGGCTTACGAATTGTAATAAAGCTTATTGATTGGAAAAAGCGAGCGACCGATTTCATTCTCGGTATCAATTTGCATTTGCGGACGGTTATTCAAATTAATATCATTTCCTTTTGTTTGGAAAAGAGAGACACTGGCAGCGGTACACTCTACCCATGATTATGGGTTTTGGTCAAATATATTACTTTAAAAGCCGTGCAATCATTTTAGATATTAGATATTAAACTAACCATATTATGATATTCTCCGTCTAACTATTCGATCTGTCACCATCTCACTATTCAATCTGTCTCAACGTTCATTCTCTGTTTAACTATTCAATCTCTGTCTCAGTGTTCATTTTCTTGTTTAACTATTCAATCTTTGTCTCAGCGTTCATTCTCTGTCTCGACATTCATTTTCCGTCTGACTATTCAATCTGTCTCAATGTTCATTCTCTGTCTCGACGTTCATTCTGCGTCTCACTATTTAATCTGTCTCAATGTTCATTCTCTGTCTCGACGTTCATTCTCCGTCTCAATATTCAATCTGTCTCAACGTTCATTATGTGTTTAACTATTCAATCTCTTTCTCAGTGATCATTCTCTGTTTAACTATTAAATCACTGTTCATTCCTGTCTCGACGTTAATTCTCCGTCTCATTATTCAATCTCTGCATCAGTGTTCATTTTCTATTTTAGAGTTAATTCCCTGTCTTACCTTTCAATCTTTCTCGGTGTTCATTCTCTGTCTGACTGTTCAATTTCTGTCTCACTGTCCATTCTCTGTCTCGCTGTTCAATCTTCGTGTTTCTTTCAAAGTGTTACAGTGACAAGGAGACCGAATGATATTGTTGTAAAATAAAAAGCTTGTCCGCTTTAGTTATAGTGATATTAAAACATATACAACACCATGTATTATGAAATTTTAGATTTTGTTACAAAATATGGACAGTGAATTTGATGTTGTTGTCTAATAATACAAAGATACAAGACGTGAGGCGCGGCGACATTATAAATTTTAGAACTGCCCGCGCATTTTGCTACTTTGCCGCGGCTCCACTAGTTTTTAACGTCTACCACGCGCGTCTTGTATGAATTGTACCAAAAACGTTAATTTTAGCAACATGAGGATTAAAACTTAAAATATTTATTGTGAACATATTTTATAGTTCAATACACAATAAAAAACTTTTAATTCAAAACATTTTCAAAATAGTGATGCATGACACATAATATATATAGTTGTCTTTTTGCTTTTAATTTTGATCATACGATGTTTAATAAAAAAACGTATATGGGAGTAGTAATAATAAAATAAAATAAAATGAATATTGTATTTTGCTTGACCATTGTCAATTTTTAATGGTCTGGCCCGGGGCGCGCTACTTCGTAGCACGTGCCATCGGGCCACATTTCGAGAAGAAAGCGGTGTGCGCTACTTCGAAGAAATTTAGACGAGTAACATCCGTCAATATTTTGCATGATCGGATCGCAGTGCAGAGCAATAATCCGATCGTCTGTCGTCACGATGTCAATCCTTCGCAGCTCGGTGAGGCCCAGCATGCAGTGGTGCATTTTGCCGATCTACCGCGAGAAGAATTATTAGAGAAGAAATAACGCTTCTCGCAACCACTTTGCATTTGGTTACTGGGCCGCGCTCAGCCTGTCATACCGCCTAACATTACCAACATTAAAGCCTGGGGTCCTCAGGTAAACATTCAATTAAATCAGGTGATGTACGCTGGTGGTGCTGAGTGAGAACTACCCCTTTAAAAAAGTATATCTGTCAAGTTAAGATCCTACTGGGTTGTAGGTGAGCGCATACAAAAAAATGTTGTTTTTCTTAATTAACCAGCTACAGTAAGCTGGCCAGTAAGATGGAGTACCACACTGGCCAGAGGTACTCAGACGCTGTAGGATACATAAGAAAGCGCCTTCGCTTTGAAATCCTCAGAACAACAGTGATTTCTCTCCGTGGAGACAGAGGTGCGAGAAAAAACATTGTTGATATAAACAGTCTAGATCTTAACTTGGAGCCACAAGGCCAAGGGTAAAAAATTTTTGATTGTTAAGGGAATTTTTTGAATTCTTAAAGGGTTGATTTTATATAGGGTCATTGCTATATTATGTGTATATTGTTTGAATATTTTATAATATTTTATTAACCAGCTACAAAGTTAAACTCCAGGTCATATCCTTGAAATTGGATAGAAGAAAATGTATAATTATAAAATTTTACAGTTACTGTTTACTACTAATTAAATCTTTAGTATATGCTATGTCATTTGCTTATGTTAGTAAACGTCGTAAAACTGACGAGAAGGCATCACCAAGTGCCTGCAGTGAAAAAATTGAAAATGAGCTGTTCGTATGGAAAGAATTTGATTCTCATGGACTGAAAAATATATTAGGATCTCATGCTTCTACACTGTCTTGGTCCTCTGATGGCAGTTATCTTGCAGTTGGAACAGTCAAAGGACTAATATTGGTTATACATTTTCCTAACAAGATTGAGGGTGTGATGGTGATGAAAGTCAAACTTCTGTCATCTATACCACGTTGTATAGAATGGTCAAAAGATGATAGCTTTCACTCTTCTGCCCATAATGGATATTCTTTCAAGTTCAATATGTCTACTCAGTCAATTTCAGAGAAGCATGTGAAAAATATGGATGAATTTTACACATCTGCTTTCTGGAAAGACAACATTTTATTTGGAAAAAGGCATATATATCTTATATCAGATAATAAAATTATCAGAACATTTGGCCCAGGTGAAAATCTTACTTCATGCATGATAATTGTTAATGACACATTGTTTGTTACTTATGACTATAGCCACAACTCATCATCAGATAAAAGTATAATTGCTTTTTCATTGCCCTCCTGTGCTCCAGTTTCTAACCAGCTCACTAGTTGCTTGTTCAGTTACTCACATCTCTGCCACTCATCCCCATATGTTTATGGTCTGACTTCAGATGGGAAAATCACAAGATTCTTTGCTAAATCCCCCTACAAACCTGATAAACACTTTGGCATGAGCATAAAAGTTCCATATGGCTTCAAGGTGCAATTTGACATTAAAAGAAATTTGTTAGCTTATGGGGACGAAAGTGGAAAACTTGTAATGAATAAAATCAGCTCTTCCATCGAAAGCAGAATTAAAAATAAATCTCTGCATGGGTCTACCTTTCAGGATCATATCATACTGAAAGACTTTTGTGATAGTTCTGATCCCATCATTAATGTTAAGTTTCACCCTAAATTAAATTATATAGCATTTTCTAGGTGGAAGGGTGGATTTGATATAATACCTTATAACATATTCTAAAGAATTTAAATCCCATTCAGTTGTAAATGTTGAGAAACACATTTTCAATGTCACACTTTGCTTCTTTGTTTATGAGTGGTACACAATAATTTATGTCATATTAATATAAGATTTTGTTAATCATAATAGATCTATTTAAAATTATATATTATGTTAAAAATAAAAACACTTCAATAGAAACAATATTTTGCTGTATATTTAATTGCTTCAAGGATGTTATTCTAATATCACACAAATAATGAAATTATTAATTATATAATGGCAGATATTCATCATTCCATTGCTAGGTTGGCCGACCGAATCCCTAACATACCGAATCCCTAATGCTATTTTCAACTCTTACCATAACCCTAACTGTTACCCTAACCTTATCCTTATACCATACCAGAACCGTGACCCAAATTCTAACCATATACTGGTAGTTAATAAACGTTAGGGATTCAATCTGCCTACCCTATTGGTTGATGTTGATTTGTTTGTCCATCTAAACACCCGTTTCCAGTAGAATGCAGTGGACCTGAAAAAAAAATCCTGAAAAACAAACGCACAATGGTGAACCTGGCTGAGATGGATGTGTCCCTCTACCCAGCTGCAGTTAAAGCGCAACTCTTTGCTCTGGAGGCAGAATACAAAGAGGGTCAGTTTCTTCGGTTATTTCAAAAAGAACGTATAACCGATTAGTTGGTATCAAATTACATTAAATTAGCTCATCTTATTTTAATAATGATTATTACATTATTTTGCTGGAAAATTTGTTATAATCTCACAACTTTCCTTTCACTGTTCAGGGGACCTAACAAAACAGGGGTACGATAAAAGAAGATCAAAGATTATTGCTAGTTACCAGGCACTCTTAGATAAAGGTATGCAAGACAACTTTCCTGCTTCAACCACCTGCAGTATAGCGTTACTAGTTTGATTGAAATCCCCTCGTAATTTCTCAAATTTACAATCACATCATTTCTAAACACAATGGGTGGAAATTAACGGAAATGGATAAATGTGTACAAACAATTTAGTGAGCGATTTTTAGTTGTCTAAACAATATGCAGTCGATTTACCAATTTATATGAACATTTACAGTTGACTTCGAACATAATAGCTCTCATAGCTGCCAAAGTATGTAATAAGTAATTACTACTACTCAAAGTATGAGAAGCAACCCTTAATAATGTAGTATTTACGCTGCAGTAAAAGAAGTGTGTTCAGATTGGAGTCGGAGGAGAAGCAGTTCAGCAAGTCAATCGTCCGCATTCAGTGGGGTCAGCTCTCTTAGTCTCACCGGCACCGAGGGGAACTCAGGTTAGTCTAAATACCGTCCGCATTCAGTGGGGTCAGCTCTCTTAGTCTCACCGGCACCGAGGGGAACTCAGGTTAGTGGGGTCAGCTCTCTTAGTCTCACCGGCACCGAGGGGACTCAGGTTAGTGGGGTCAGCTCTCTTAGTCTCAACCGGCACCGAGGGACTCAGGTTTAGTGGGGTCAGCTCTCTTAGTCTCACCGGCACCGAGGGGGAACTCAGGTTAGTGGGGTCAGCTCTCTTAGTCTCACCGGCACCGAGGGGAACTCAGGTTAGTGGGGTCAGCTCTCTTAGTCTCACCGGCACCGAGGGGAACTCAGGTTAGTGGGGTCAGCTCTCTTAGTCTCACCGGCACCGAGGGGAACTCAGGTTAGTGGGGTCAGCTCTCTTAGTCTCACCGGCACCGAGGGGAACTCAGGTTAGTCTAAATACCGATCATTCTATATATATTATATTTCTTATTCATTCTGTTATCCTGTTTTTTACCGATGCTGTCTGGTCAGTCAGGAAGAATGTATTATCTAATCTGAAGGCATACGTTTCTCAAACTATAGAAGGGCTGAGTCATGAAAATCTAGAACTTTGTGTGGCCTGTTTTTACCCATTTTTCGCATAACTCTGTTGAAGGTCCGGAATGTGTCCAGTTGGCGGATAATCAACGGGAAACATGAAGGTCGTTGACTCAATTTGCTTACCATATCAGAGTCTGTCAAAACCGTTGCTGTTATATTAGTACTAGAGTATACTTTCCCTTCCTCTCTACGCTAGTTAGATTCTTGCTATGATATTGGGTCCAGTTAAATGGAGACTGTGCGGTGTTGTTTGCTGTTCTAATATTATAATATATTATATTCAGTAATATATTTTGGATAATTGTTATCCAAGTTGGTAGTTGGTGGGATATATCTGTTTGTTGATTGAGCCAACTTTTCTCAGTTATTTGGTTCCAAGGCAAATGTTTCTCAAATAAAAAAAGCAATATTAATCCCTTATCTGTATTATGTAATAATGATGTCATGTGACATTCCATGAATAAATGAATATGATGTAATTCTTATACCTCTCAGTTTCCCAAACTCAATAAAGGCGGGGGGCCCCCAAAGGCGCATCAACCAGACAGGCAGTATTCCATGCTGTTCAATAGTTATGACGAGTATAATATATACTAATAGTATTAGTACTATTAGCTACCACTCATCATTATAATACACAACATAGGTCTATCACGCTAGCTTACTGTGCTTACCTTTTACACTACCCCCTGCTTTTTAATTTCTTAATTTGTCCTACAAGAAAAACTACAAATTTCACGTAGCATAACGAAAGTAACTATCTGTGTTGTCTGGAACCGGAGCGTGTTGAGCTACTTTTAAGAGCGTGAATGTGACTAGTGATTATAGTGACTGTTCAGATGCGAGTATTATCTTGTGTTGCATTTCTGGGATACATTATTAGTTAATCGTTAGCCAACGTGTGAGACAGACAGTGGTAACTAATTTAGGCTTTTAGTGGCTGGAAATGAGGCTGCTTCAGTCCTTAAATAGTAGTGTCATGTTGTAAAGACTTCATTCTTGTTATTGTAGACTTTATAAGCACAGCATCAGCGAGGGTGACAGGATTTCAGGATTTAATAAAAGCTTCTGTTAGTTTATAAAGTTATAAGTTATAACACTATTGGTTTTCTAGGGTTTTCTATTTTTTTGGCTCAAGGTTAGACAAAATTTAATTAAATTGGGATCGAGTGATCTTATCAAATGAAGCTCAGGTAACATCTTTTCTACAACGTAATCTCAGCCATGTAATCTTACCCGATATTACCAATAACAGCTAGCTTTAATATAATTGTAGGGTTAGATCATTGAACCCTACTCCTAGATCATTGAACCCCCTAGTCGCTGATGGGAACCCTCACACCACATCGCCACAATGTAGTATACACACTGAGTACTATGTACATTGTTTACACTAAATTATACACTAAGTAAACTATTCACACTGAGTACACTATGTACACTATCTACACTGTTTTAGAATACACACTCTGTGTACTTTGAGTTGCACCCTTGCACACAGATCACTCGATACATGCCATGTACACTGATTGTACACTTCACCTGGGGTATATTATATAAGGCCAGGGTACATTCAGTCCCTCAGTCGCTCAGAACAGGGGTACCCGAGTGGACACTGGAGGCAGGAGGGGTGTCAGGTGTACTAGCTCTAAGGAGCTAGATAATATCGGGATATCATTGATTTGATCTAGATACTAGCTGATCAGGACCACGCCCGTATAAAGTAGTTGGATTCCTGCAACATGACACCCGTATCAACCAAGTTTCACAGTTCATATTGCTCACCGATTAGATATGGGGTGAACTTCATAATTTGTGCAACACAGTGCTGTGAATTTGACCTGAATGCTTTTAGGGTCTCTGGAAGTGAGCGGAGCGGTAATAATTTAAACAGAGAGCCTGCCTGCTGGGAGAAATCATCACCTCCCCACCGGTTACACACACACCAGCACCACGTGACCTCACGTCCAGGATCACGTGACTTCTAGTTTTGTCACGTGACCAAGATCTTGTTTCTGAGTGGTCGACTGTGAGAGTAATTGCTGGAATATCTCTGGGACCAGGGTTTAGAGGGGAAACTCGGCCTAGAGGGTACCAATGTCTGGTTATCGTTAAAAATAGGAATAAGTGTATAGCGCCCGTTTGTAATCGATAAAGTCGACTTTTATAAATCGATTGATTTCATGAAAATTAGATACATTGACATTAATTTACCAAATTCCAAAATCATAAAATCACGATATTTCAAATAATTAGTTACTTGAAATTTTGGCACCGTGAATATAATAAGCAGTTCAACTAAGAACTATCTTGGCTGGCTTGATGTGAGACCGGAGACGTATACAATAAAGTATTCATGAATCAAACTGACCCGTTCATTTCCAAATAACGAAATATGCTCACTGGTGATTGAGTGATCATACAATTCAACGGAAAATAACTGCACATCAAATTGCGCGGAAATTCGGGTAAAATTTCCTAGGCAATTAGTGAATTAACCATTCCAGTAATAGTCACGTGACAAGATTCGTTTACAAGGTTATAAACAAACACTCTCTACGACAACTGATATTCTGAGGTGTTGTGCCGTGTGTGTGTGTGTGTGTGTGATCACTGTATTTGTGTGTGTGTGTGTGTGTGTGTGTGTGTGTGTGCTCTTGTAAATGTTTTCGCTTTTTACTTTCAATCAAATTCGCTGAGCGCTGAATAAAGTCTCTTCTGTATTTTCTTGTAAATGACCAATGAGGTCATCATTATTATTAATTTATAGGTGTAGTTCTTCACCTCGAGAGACAAGATGTGATCCCGTAATTGTAGAACTTACTATTTTCTACAGGTTCACAGTTCGTGATGCAGATGTTTAACACTCAATTATATAATTATTATCGTATAGGAAGTAAACATTGAATAATCACTCCTTATACTCGGGGACACCTTCTCAACAGAAAGTTTGTTAAATCATGATTATTACCAAAAGTGATGACATAAAACTTAAAAGTTGTCAGCCTTCTTGATTCTACAACTCTTAACAGTACAACGCCCTGTAGAACGGAGAGATAACACCACTTAGTTAGGGATCTTTACGGTGCTGCTACACCTTCTACTACACCTTCTAATACACCTTATACTACACCTTTTCCTATCTTCCATTTGTTTTTCCCACAACTCTACACGGCTTCCCAACATAGCCCAAAGAGATATACAAATATTCCAAAATTCGGCAACCTTCTACGCTACGTTAATTACCACTGATAACAGCGATGACTCATTATTTCAGCTGATATTAGAGACCTGTATATTTGCAGTAGTGTCGTCATCCAATACCAGGAATATGGAAGCTTCTAGAAGTCTCTCCAGTGTCCAGCGGATTGTTCCACCTAATTTCACCTCCACGCCACCAACTTGTATTTACCTTGATAAATAACCCCTCGGAATGTCATTATCTTAATTGGTTTCCTGGGTTTTTATTACACGTGAAAACTTCAAGGTCAACTTACCCTTTGATAAACGGTGAATATCTCGAATTCCACGACTGTCAATAATCAGTGTATCAGCTTGAAAACCTGACGTCACAACACGCAGCGTTTGTTGGTCCTATCTGCGTGTTTGTTATAGGCGGAGCTGTTGCTCCAAGTTTTAACATCTCTGATTATACTCTGTGTGATATACATGTTGTAGATGTCGTGTGTTGAGGGGGACCGCATCATTCCTATTTTGGTTAGCCGCACTTTTTAACATGAAAATGAACCTTGTTAGTCTTTGTTGTTGATGTTGGGTCGTTCCTGCGGGAAGGTGTAAAGGTGGTAGTGTGTAGTTTGCTATAGTTTGCTATATTTTGCTGTAGTTTGCTATAGTTTGCTATATTTTGCTGTAGTTTGCTATAGCTTGCTATAGTTTGCTATAGTTTGCTATATTTTGCTGTAGTTTGCTATAGTTTGTTATAGTTTGCTGTAGTTTGCTATAGTTTGCTGTAGTTTGCTATAGTTTGCTGTAGTTTGCTATAGTTTGCTATAGTTTGCTGTAGTTTGATGTAGTTTGTTGTAGTTTGCTATAGTTTGCTATAGTTTGCTATAGTTTGCTATAGTTTGCTATAGTTTGCTATATTTGTTGTAGTTTGCTATAGTTTGCTATATTTTGATGTAGTTTGCTATAGTTTGCTATATTTTGCTGTAGTTTGCTATAGTTTGCTATAGTTTGCTATAGAGACTGCTGATTATTCGAATATAAATACCCTGGACCCATTTAAATACATGCGACCAGGTCGAACCATGCAATATTCAACTTTTGAATCCTTTTTTGGTCAAAATATGGTTCAATTTGATAGAGGTACTCGTTGTCATGAATCATGTCACGGATCCAATAAAATAGTGTGTGCACAGTTTAATAAATGGTCATGGAGTCGAGTCCGTCATCGGGAGAGGTTGAGAAACAGACGTTATGCGGAGTATTAATATTGCTGGGGAAACGAGAAAACGCCACGCTAAACTGTTAGTTATATTTTAA